GTCAATTTTAAAGCTCAACCTCTCAAGATTTTAGATGCTTTAAACTATATTTGAGTTCACAGTAAATACTATATAGTTATGAAGGAGATTTTGATATTTTGATGTGAATCATATCCGAATTAGTTTCTACCCGGGCATAATAGATTATCTGGGGGCGGGGGGAAAGTGACATGTTACTACGAGAAGAGGAAAGTATAATTGCGCAGCAATTCTGCAGACAGTACTATTACTTATCAAGTTTGACAAAAGTCTTAACAGTGTTTAATTTGGAATAATTAACCAAGTTATGGTATATTTGTGAACAAGTAGATACTAAAATGTTTTCTTCAAAGAAGTGTAGTAATTTATTATCTTAATGGCCCCATTAAAATAATTATTTCTCTTAGGTTATGATTAAATGTACTTATTTCTCATTGTTCAGCGTAAACAACCTGGTATTTATTCACTCTCCCTATATTTACCTTTTAGCTCCTTTTTTTTCTTCAGGCATTGATTTGCCCTTTTAGGACCAGGTTTTTAGCAAATTAATCAAAAGATTAGTTAATACGACCATTGTTGTTAAGTGAAAGTACTTTCTGGAGCCATTAGATGACATTGCTAAAGGCTAACATGGAATATGTGTTCGTGTAAAAAATGCATTAACCAATGAAATTATTAATTAACTTTTTGTAATTTTGTTTTTCTTATTGAATTTCCTGGACTTACTTTTTTATTTTACTTGATTACCTCTTTCTGCTAGATCTGTAATAATTGTATTTATATTGTTGCCAACCTGAGCCAGAGGATTATTCTATAGTGTATAGAATTTATCAAGACATTTTTACCATAAAAATGAAATCCAAATTAAGCTTAAACAACCACACTATGTACCTGCAAAAAAAAGCAATAAAATTTCTGAAATTTGTACATACTCTAGTACAGTTAAAATTTATAAAAGAATTTAGTGCCAAGTAGAAATAGCTTTTCCTTAGATTCTGTAAACTGTTCATTGTTTTTGTTATTAAATGAACAGTTTCCAAAAATTTAATATGAATTGACCCCTTTGTTAACTTATCCAGGAAGGCTTCACAGGGAGATTAAGATTTGAGTTTTATAAAAAAACATTTTCTTTTATGTTTGTTCTATTACTTTTCAAGAATATTACAGTATCATTTAGATTATTTCTTAAAGATGTGACTTGTAATTTTTATATATTAAAGATTTTTATCACTCCATAGAAAATTTTTATTCAAACTTTAATGCAATTCTGACCAGAATTCGTATCTAAATTAATTATATTAACTTATGGATTGGCTCTGTTTTTTGAAATTTGGGATCCCCAAATCTTTAGTCATGATCAAAATTTTCAAATTACTTTTTTGTTAAATTATAAATTAGTAGTATATTTACCTTTATTAAAAAACTATATATATATAATACAATTAGTTAATCTTTCCTTGGGTATACAATGAAATAAGTACCCAGACAAATATTCCTTTATTTTTTGTTTCATTCTCTGTTCTACTTCTAAAAGCTTTAATATTCTTTTATTCTAGGGAATAATGCTTCGATAAATATAGAAGTAGACCCCAGGCATCCTACTATGCTTCCTGAGTGCTGTTTTCTTGGAGCTGACCATGGTATGAGATCTCAGGTTTAAATGTTTTTAACAGAATTATAAAATATTTGTCTACCACTGTAGACAAATAATTGTAATTAAATATTATCAAATTAAATATTATAAATATTTATTGTAATTAAATATTGTAATTAAATATTATTCTAACATATTTATATTAATGGTAAACATCTTAAATGAAAATGTCTCATTATGAACTGTGTACTTCAGTGTTTTTTTAATATATAATATATATGATTTAGATTTTCTAATCACGTACTTAGGAAACAAATCTTGTAATTAACAAATATTATGTATATTTCAAAGTTGCTAATAGATTAGATCTTAAAAGTTTTCATCAAGAGTAAAAATCTTTGTAACTGCATGATAGATGTTAACTAAACTTGTAATCGTTTTGCAATATATACATATACCAAATCACTATGTTGTACACCTAAATCTGTAATACAGTGTTATCAATTATAGCTCAATAAAAAGAGACAAATTCTGTGCCAAATGTGACTTTACAAAATGAGAGCAGCAAACCCTAAATTTTTAAAACTTTTTTTTTTTTTTTTTTAATATTTGAAGTGGTAAAACCCCTGGGAATTAGGCTGAGCAGAAACATACATTTGTGGTAGGTATCTTTGCAATATAATTGTTACTTTTCTATGATTTTACAAATTTAATAACAGGTTTTTTTCATGTTTTCAGGGATCCAGAAAATAGTCTGTTACAAAATTTGAAAGATGTTTTAGAAATTGATTTTCCAGCTCGTGCTATCCTGGAAAAATCTGTAAGTCTTATCAGTGCTTTGATATTCCAAATAGCGTTGCATAATGAAAGTCAAACGTTCTTTTAGGCACCAGAGAAAAAGGAGGCTGAAAGGGAAGGAATCGGAAGAATATTATAACGGACTTCTGAACTGCAAGCGGCAGTTGCATCAAAGAACTTGTTAACCTTTGATTGGTGGTTATAAGTGTACTTTTTTCATGGTCATTGTAGCAGTAAAGTGATTAATGACATCTTTATTATTAAAAATAGGGGAAAGGGCCAGTGTAGCTAATGAGATGTTTGGATTTTCTATACTATATGGATGACTGAAATAAAGTTCTAATTAGCTTGAAACAAGTGTTTGTGAAGGTTGGCAGAATTGACTTTTGACAAAGCTGCTAAGAATGTAGACTACTAAAGTGGTGGGGATGTTTTTGTCTTTTTCCTTTAGTTGCAGAATTTTGAAGTTTAGTATAATCACCAGCTAATGTCAGTTCCTGTCTTTGCATACTGCAGTGGCATTATACTGATGTACATAGTGGGAATAGTAGTACTTAAGCCCCAAACATCTTGTGAGCCAAAAGCAGAATCTGTTTTTTAGTATATGTATATTATTTATTGGATGAAAAAGCCAGCCCTCTCTTACAGATAGCTTTTCTAAGGTGTTAAATAGTGATGTGACTGTATTTTCTGTAACACAGCAATATAGTTACCTTTATAAAAATTTAATAGTATCTAATAAATACCATATTATGCACTTTTTAATTTCACCTTGTGTATTCTTATAAATATTTCTTTTTTCCCACCACCCCATCCCCCAATATTTCTTTTCTTTTGAAGGATTTTTCTATGGATTGTGGAATTTGTTATGCCTATCAACTTGACGGTGCCATTCCTGATCAAGTGTGTGATAATTCACAGTGTGGACAGCCTTTCCATCAAATATGTTTATATGAGGTAAAAATAAAAACATCAGTAAGACTAACAGCATAGAAAATATGCATATTTGAAATCTAAACAATCTAAAATCTGTTTAGTCAATAGTGATCTTTTATTGCCATTATCTCCTTTAACAGTTCATTCCAAATGTGTATTTCATTTCTTCGTGGTTACTAATGAATTTATAAATGTCCTAAAGTATCCAAGAAGTGGGAAAATGTATCTAGGATATACTCATGGACTGTTTATTGATGCATAACAAATTAAACTGATGGACCATTGGAATCTTTCTATAAGTATCTCATGTAACCACAATGCAAACTCTGTAAACTCATCCAAGGAGGAGTAATGGTGGCAATAAGGTGAAAGGGAGCTAGTACTGTAGAGTACCTATTACTTCTTCAGGCTATATTTAAGTATAGAATAAATGTAATAATCCTACTTTTGATATTGAGAAGAATGCATTTTATGATCTAAATGACTCACAACACTCTTAGTCAATGACACTGTTTACTGTATACATGAGAAGTCTGCTTTCCTTCCTGTCTGCAGTCACTTGCTCTCTAGCATTCCTCTTAGGGCGCAATGGACATACGACCAATGTATGTGCATCTATATACAAAATGACTTGCAGCTTTCAGTTTTTAAAAACTTCCTTAATATTACCTCCTGATTTTTGTGATTAGAGATAGCAGCTGGTGCTAGCTGCAGTTTAACAGTGGAGAATTTAGGTAGAGATGTCAATTTACCTTATATAAAATCATAAAATACTAGGTCTAATTATAGAGATACTCTTAAGGGAACATGTGCTTTCTTTTGTAATAATGAAAATTCATTTAATTTTTAAAAATGGGTTGCCTCCTGCTTGTAATTAATGGATTGAGAATTAACCCTACTATTGGTGATTAAGATCAGAATTAAGACCTAAATTTTAAAGAGCCTAGGATATCTTTTATAGCAGGAGTTCTTAATTTGTGATTAATGGATTTAGGGAGGGTCTGTGAACCCCATGGAGTTATTTTTGTGTACATCGTTCTGGGTTAGAGAAGGTGCATACTTTTTATCAGATTCTTAAAGGGGTCTATAATTTGCTTATAAATCAGTGGTATAGACCTTGAAATCCATACTGGTTTCCCCTTGTTATTCAGCATTTTAGTAGTTTGGTATTGGCTCAGGAGATGTTCCTCTCACTCTTGCAAAAGAAAATTAAGAAGGCAAACCATCTGGCATAGACATATAATGCACTCAAAAAGAAAAATTTATTTGGAGTACCTGTAATATGTAATCACGTTGACACTGCTCCCTTTCTTCTCTTTTTAAAATCTTCAGTGGTTGAGAGGACTACTGACTAGTAGACAGAGTTTTAACGTCATATTTGGTGAATGTCCATATTGCAGTAAGGTAAGCAAATTATTAATCACATTTCATAAAATGTGCCTAGCTTTTAGTAATATGTTTTAGAAGATAGCTATATAGTTATCAGCTTACATAAAATTTTTGGAAACATCTGTCAATCTATGTATTTAAAAAAAAATTTCTAAGATAAATTGTCCCTATTAACATTTTAATGTTCAGATTTCTCCTTTGATCAAAAAAAAGTTAACCCCTTTTCTAGATTTCCTAGGTGATCTGAACCTTAAAAAGTATTTTCCAAACTCTCTCATTACACCATCTCTAATATAAAGCATTCCTCTTTTTATAAGCCACTTACCTTGAAAATGTCTGGGAGAAAAGCCTGAAATAATGCAACATTTCTGTGAAGAACTGGAAACTTAAATTAGCAAAAGGATTTTATTTGATATCTTTAGAGAAAATATAAAGCAAGACATACTAATATCAAAAGAAGAAGAATGGTGAAGCCATAATAATATACATCTGCCTTTATCTCTTCACTAAGAGTAAACTGGGAAATTGTAAGCCAAAATCCTGTAGAACTGTCTAATTCTGTGACCTCCATACCAGTTGCAGAGGTGTCCGTGTACCAAGATGGAGAGCTTGACTTGTTGAACATATCTGGACTGGTAAAATCTTGATGGGGTTTATAAAATGAATTGGGGGACTGTATACAGCTGGATTTTTGTGGAGACCTTTTTACTCCATTCAGAAATTCTTGAGACTCACAGTATTTTTGTCTTCTCCTTGTGCTTTCCTATGAGAAAATACATATGTGTTTGTTAGGTTTGAGTTATCCAAGTGTTTATTTTGTGTACTCTATAAGAATGCTAAATAAAATTTGTTACACAAGATCAAGTTTTTATGTGCTTTTTATTTTTCCCGAGAAGTTATTTTTAGATTCTTGATTTTAAGTGTTTATAAAGTACTTACCAGCATCAAACGACCAAATCTGGTTAATATGATTGATTGCTTCTTTTAAACCAAGAAGTAGGCTATTTCTTAAATAATTTATAATCTAAAAATAGGATAGACTATGAAAAAATGAATTTTTTGGCAAGAAGAAGAAACAGGCTTAATCTTACGGGGATAAGACAGTAATAATTAGAAGGATTTTTGGTCGGTAATAATTAAAGAAAGATACTAGAACCACTGGAGCAAGATGGTGGTGCAAGTGCTGTGCACCCACAGACTGGCCTTAGCTAGTGGCCTGCCCCCCTGTAGCCTCCTGCCGGAGCACCAGAGATTGACCGACATCTTCCCATAACAGACCTCGAGAAGACAGCTGGTAAAAATCTTTATTTGTCCAGAAGCTTATCTAAGAAAAGATGATGCTCACCCTAATCTCCTAAGCAAAAAGGAATCAAGCAGTTTATACAAATTACAGTTTCACTGTGTCAAAAGAGATGTCTCGAAGGCTCTTTAGCTTTTCCATTAAAAAGAAATAAATTATTGAGATAACTATAAACTACTCTTTACTGCCTGAGAGCTAACAAAGTCACATGAATGCAGTTTTCCTAAAGTTTTGTCAGCTTAATTCACTAAAGGCAAAATGAGTTAATGGTTACTCCAGCAGGCCCATAAAGCATTGTTCTTGCACAAAGAAAAAGAAATATACCATCAAATCATATTTCTAAAGGCTGAGAGCCACAGGCAAGCTAACCTAAACTGCATTTACATATAAGTTACATGTAGAAGTGGATGATCTAGTTAATCCCCGTCTAGGTAAGAACAGAAGCCAAACTACTAAAATTTCAAGATAGAATCATCTCTTGTGCGACCTAAATACCTTACCTCTCTTTAAGCAACAACAAATGATGTCAAATGGGAAGGTACTCATCAAAGGATTTAACCACCAGCTGTCTTCAGTTTACTGAGAGCTGTGATTGGGAGAGGCAGTCTGGCTAGGGTTGGAAAACTGTGGCTCATTGGCTAGCTGCCTGTTTGTGAGTAAAGTTTTACTGGTACATAGCCCTACTGACCACCATTGCCTTGCATTAAGCAAGGGACAGCAAAGAGGCAGCAGCTCACAATCCTCCTTACTAGAAAACATCAGTCTTAGTAATTAACAGAGAACTAGACAAAAACAGCAAGGTTAGATCACACAAACCAATGGGATCTAACTGATATTTATAGAGCATTCCACCCCAAAACAGAAGAGTACATGTTCTTTTCGATCGCAATTGGAATATTCACCAAGATAGACCATATCCTGGGGGTTATGTAATAAACCTTAACAAATACAAAATTATACAAAGCATGTTCTCAGATAATAATATAAATTAGAAATCAGTAACAGAAAATCTTTAAACATTTGGAAATCAGACAACACACTTCTAATAACCAAGACATCAAAAGTCTCATGGGAAAGTACAAAATTAAAATACAATATATAAGGATTTATGGGATGCAGTTAAAGTGGGGCTTAGTAGGTCATTATAGCATTCAATGCTTATATTAGAAAAAATAGAGGTTTCAAATCAGTAGCCTAATCTTCCACCTGAAATAGAAAAAGAAAAGGAAAATACACCTAAATCAAGCTGAAGGAAAGAAGTAACAGGAAAATCTTCAAACATTTGAAAAATTTAAAAAACTCCTGAATGGGTCAGAGACCCAAGAGAAACTTAAAAATATATTGAACTGAATGAAAATGAAAACGTATCAAAATATATGGGACATGGCTAACACAGTGTTAGAAGGAAAATCTCTTAATACTGAATACTTATATTAAAAAAGAATTCTCAATTCAATAACAGGCTTGTTTCTACCTCAAGCAACTAGAAAAAGAGAAAAGAAATACATAGCAGAATGAAGGAAATAAAAATAAGAGCAGAAATCAATGGAACTGACAAAACAAAAATAGAGAAAACTCAAACAAAAGCTGGTTCTGTGACCAATAAAATTGATAAACCTGACCAAAAAAGAGAGAAAACAAACTACTGATATTTGGAAAGAAATATTACGATAGGCTTCAATTCCATTTAGAGAATTTAAATAAAGGAATACTATGAACAGTTCTACAAATAAAAATGTAACAGCTTGGACGAAATAGACCAATTCTTAGAAAAGCACAAATTATCAAAAATAACTCAAGATGAAATAGATTAGGGGGTGGTAAACTGTGGTCTGCAGGCCAAATCCAGCTCAACACCTGTTTTGTAGAACCTGCCACCTAAGAATGGTTTTTACATTTTTAAATGGCTGGAAAAAATACTTTGTGACACTTGAAAATTACATGGAATTCAAATTTCAGTGCCATAAATGTTCTGCTGGAACTCAGCTATACTCATTTGTTTACCTATTGTATATGATGCTTTTGCACTACAATGCATAGTTGAACAAAAGAGAGACCATATGACTTGTAAAACCTAAATATTTACTGTCAGGCTCTTTATAGGAAAGTCTGTCCACTCTTGAAATAGATAATCTGAATAGTCTTAGTAAAGAACTTGAATTCATAGTTAAAAAAGGAAAAGAAATCTCTAGGCCCAGACCGTTTCACTGGAGAATTCTCTAAAACATTTAAAAAGAAACACTAATTCTATTCAATCTCTTCCAGAAATTAGAAGATGTCTCAGCTCATTTTATGAAGCAAGCATTACCTGATTCCAAAACCAGAAAAAGACAATAAAATAAAACGAAAACTACAGACCAACAGTCTTCATTAGAGATGTAAAAGTCGTCAACAAAATACTAACAAACTGAACCCAATGACAAATGAATAACACGCCATGACCAAGTGGGGTTGATTCAAGGAATGTAAGAGTGTTTCAGTATTCACACATCAATCAGTGTCATCCACCACAGTAACAGTAGAAAGGTGAAAAATCATATGGTCATATTAATAGATATAAAAAAGCATTTGACAATATTCAACACCCATTCATAATAACTCTCAGTACACTAGAAATGGAGGGGAACTTCAACTTGATAAAGAACATCTACCAAAAATCTACAGCTAACATCATACTAAATGGTGAAAGGCAAAAAACTGGAAGAAACTCATATGTTCTTCAACACTATATCCATACCTCAGAATACTACCTAGCAATAAAAAGGAATGAACTATCAATAGATGCAAAATTTGCATGGATCTCACGGGTGTTACAGTGAAAGAAAGCAAGCCAGTCTCAGCAAGTTACATAGTGTATAATCTGATTTATACTGACATGCTCAAAATGACAAAACTATAGTGATGCAGAAAAGACCAGTGCTTTCCATGGTTTAGGATTGGGGAGACAGTGTCACTATAAAGCAAAATGAATAAAGTTACCATTATCAGGAATGGATAAAGAAGACATTAAAAGTATAACAAGAGAATATCATGAACTACATAGTGCTGACAAATTTGACGGGTTAAATGAAATGGACAAATTCCTTGAAAGATCAAATTACCAAAACTGACACAAGAAGAAAATCTAATAATCACTATTATCTGTGATAGAGAGTAAATTCATAATTTGAAATTTTACTACAACAAAACTCTAGACCTAGATACTTTGCTTTCTAAACTGTCATTTTTATGAAAGGCAAATCTTACTGAGACATTTTCTGAAAATAGACACTTCCCTCTAATGTAACTTATACAATGACTGGAAAACAAAACCATACAAGGATATTGAGAGAAAAGAAAATTTACCGACCACTATCTCTCAACAATGTAAATATAAAAATCCATAACGGAAAAATAGCAAATTGCATTCAGTATGACAACGCATCACGACTAAATGGAATTTACTCCAGAAATAAAATGTTAACATTCAAAAATGAATGCAATTCATTATACTAGTAAAGGTGAAAAAATCATACGATCATCTCAACACATCCCCCAAAACAACTTAATACCCATTCATGACTAAAATTTATTCTTCAACAAACTATAAATACAACGAAATTTCCTCAGCCTGATAAAGGGCATTTAGGAAAAACCTACAGCTAACATCATACTTAATGGTGAAAGAATGAATGCTTTTCCCCCTAAGATCAGGAACAAGGATGCCCACTCTCATTACTATACTGAGTAGTCAGTATAGTATTGGAGGTCCCAGCAGGTGTAATAAGACATGAAAGGAATAAATGAAAGGCATACATGTTGGAAAGGAAGGATAAGAATACTCTATTTACAGACAACATGATTGATGATGTAGAAAATCCTAAGAATACAAAAGAACTACTAGAACTAATCAGTGAATTTTAGGAAGATCCCAAGACACAAGGTCAATATACAAAATCAATTTTATTTCTATATACCAGGAACAAGTAACTGGAATATAAAATTTTTGAAAAAATGACATATACAATAGGATTAAAAACCAAAATATTGAGAAATACTTTTAATAGAAGATGTATAGGATATCTACACTAAAAACTACAAAACATTGTTGAAAGAAACAAATAGAAGTATCAGGTTCATGCACTGGAGAACTCAATGTTGTTGGGATTTCATTTCCCTTTAAACTGATCTTTAGATTTAGTATAGTCCCAATTAAAATCCCATTGTGCTGTTTAGTGGGAACTGACAAGGTGATTCTTACATTTTATGGAGGGCACCAGGAACTAAAATGGCCATGGCATCTTTGAAGAAAAGAAAGGGGTTGAAGGACTTAAACTACCTAATTTCAGAACTTGCTATAAATCTACAGTAATTGATACAGTGTGGAATAGATTGATAGAAAAGAGAGTCCAGAAATAGACCCATGCTTATATAGTCAGCTGAGTTCTGAAAAAGGCTCCAAAGAAATTTAATTAGGAAAAGGAAAATCTTTTTAAGAAATGGTACTGGGGTAACTGGCTTTCAATATGGAAGGAACCTCAACCCCTATCTCACACCATACGCAACTGATTTGAGACGGCTCATAGACCCAAATATGAAAGCTAAAACTATAAGCCTTCTAAAAAATATATAGCAAAATAACTTTGTGACCTTGAGGTAGGCAAAGATTTCTTTACAGAAAAAAAATAAATAAATTGATAAATTGAATTTCAAATAAAAACAAATACTTCCTGCTCATCAAAGACTCTGTTAAGTAAATGAGTAGGCAGGCTGCACACTAGGAGAACATATCCACAATATAGACATTGGACAGGAGACTTATATGTGGAATATATAGAGAATTCCTACAAGTTAATAATAGAAAGACAATCATTCAAATAAAAATGGATAAAACTTGAAAAGACACTTCACAAAAGAAGGTATATGAATGGGCAGTCAGCACAGGAAAAGGTGCTCACAATTATTGGTGATAATGGGAATCACCATGAGATACTAATATACACACGTTGACTAAAATTAAGACTGACAAACACCAAATAGTGGGGAGGAGGTGGAATGACTGGAACTCACATACGTTACTGATGGGAGTATAAAGTGGGAAGTATCTGTCAGCTTTTTATAATGTTGAACATACATCTGCCCCATGACCCAGCAATTCCACTCCTCAGGACAAACAAAACATATCCATAAAAGGCCTTGTGTCAGAATATTCAGAGCAACTATATTCATGGTGGCTTGAGACACGGGCAGCCCAGGTACCCACTAATAGGAGAATGGATATGCAAATTATGATGTAGTTATACAATGGAGGGTTGAAAAAGAGCACTCAAGAATATCTAAATTTTGTCACCAAGCAATATTTGTCTTCAGTTTTATAAATGGGAACTATAAAATGTGTCCTCTTGAAGTAGATTCCTTTGTATCAACTTGAAAATAAAATAAAAAGGAAATGATGCTACTATGGTTTTATAACAGAAAAAATGCAAAAGATTCCTATTAGTACTAAAAAAAAAAAAAGCATTTTTCTCTCTAGATAAACTTGTATGCTTGCTAGTTAGATGAGAAATGCCTAACTTGTAGGCTTCTAATTTTTGCCTTGGCTGCCAGGAAGTTCAGAGCCAAATTCAGTGCTCAGTTTAATGATTAACATCCCAGCTGCCTGATTAACCAATTGTTTTTTTGGGGGGGCGGGGGCATGGGGGGAGATAGAAGATGGGGGCATTATCTTGTTCCATATTGTAAACTACCTGAAACCATTTGGAGAAAATGATGTTGAAATCATATAAAATGTTAGCCATTTTGAGAAAAATTTTTTTTCACTGCAGATATAAATACCTTGTATGCTTCTCCTTGTCAAAAAAGGTTAAATTAGGAAAGACTTTTGCTGTTGCCTGAATGAGGCATCTGCTAAAGGTGAGTCACTAACCAAACAAATGATCGGATGATATAAAAGTCCGTCGTTCTGAAATACAACCACAGTGACAGGGACCCTCTCACATCTGTTTATGAGTTAGACTGGAGGGGCCAACGTAACAGTATGGAATACGGTGAGTCCCTCATGGATCGTAGACGGCATAACAAATTCAAGTGCACTTCGTTAGATTCTCGGGCTAAAGAAAGAAATCAGATCTGCACGCAAATGTGCTCACTGTCATTCTGTTTCTGTGATAACTGGTTTTGGCTGCCTTGACTTTATCCACTGGATAGGATATTTTCTGTCCTTTCTCATTTAACAAAACTGTACAACCTTGGCCCTCAGGAGAAAATAAAAAGTCTTTATTCCCAAAGGGCATATTCTAATATAATATTAAGGGAAACAACAACAACAAAACGCCTCTCACCTGTGCTGTCTCACTGTTGAACAACCCAATCAACCTCTCCTCCTCTTGCACTTTTCTCCACGTTGCGCAGGACTCAGCACTTTTCTCACTGTGGCCTTTTTTTTCTAGTAACCTATTTTGCATCTGATTGACTTGCTTTGTTGCAGCCTTTCGTGAATCAACCTGTTGATACAGAATAAGTAATAATATATAAGGAAAACTTCTGACACTTGTAAAAAAAAAAATGCATTCATGTCCAGATTCTTGAAAATTGTATACTTGCCAAGCTTTGAAAAAAGGAAGAAATAAAGAGGAAACCAACAAATGGAAATTACAGAAAAGTACAGTAGTTGTTGGCAAGATTCAGGCCTCTTCTCCTCAACGGGACAAGACCAATAAAAATTAGTGTCACTGTCGTGCACTCTTTAGAAATTATCTCTATAGATAATTTGCTTGCTGAAAACAGCATTTTTACAGAAAACTGTCACATATGAAAACTGCACATGAATTCATTATTAACCTTTGCTGGGAGTGGATCCAGGACATCTTTTTAGTTTAAATTCTTATTAATTAGAATCTTAGTTTTCTATCATTGAAGTGAGCCTAAGTAATGTGAACATACAAAAGGAGCTTATGATGTTGCTTACTTTTTTATACAGGTAATTTAACCTTTGAGCAGATGAACAACAGTCAATGTCATCTAATACTGTGTGCCAGTATCAGAGGTTAAATTCTACAACAAGCTTGGCTGTCTCTAAGGTTTCTTTTTCACACCATGCTGTTATCTAGGGGATGACTGACTCTCAATAACCTTGAAGGAGACACAGGGCAGATCCCACAATACAGCTGGAAGATTGAAAGCCACAGTGAAGATCCTTATGTCAAGTATTTGTTCAGCAGCTTCGTGTTTACAGCAGCTGAAAGTGCCATCACCTTTTTTCATGGGTTAAATAGGGGGCAGAAGATAGGAACAGTACAAGGGGAAATAATGGAGTAGCCAGTGCCAAACTAGAGAATGAATTACATTGGCTGAGCAAGCAGAGCCTTAATTTGTAGTCCCTCAACTTTTAGCTTCTATTGCCAAGTGTGTTCACTCCTTCCCTTTAAAATATGCTGGCGTTTTGTGGCTAGGTTTAAGCTGTCACAACACCATTCTTTATTCACCCCTCCTCCTGGATCCCAGCTTCTCAAAGGATAGCACAGCCACTGCTTCTCAGTAACCTGAAAATTGGAATTGCTTTCTGGTCACTCAGGGGTTCTTTATTTCTGCCACTCAACTCTCCCCAACTCCTAGGAAAATTCATGTGTAACCACCTTCTGAGCCAGTTTTCCATTCAAGTTATCTTGGTAATAAATGCCCATCATACCACTAGTGTGAAACAAAGTGTTTCCTAAGGCTGCTGTACATAGTTCTATCTTAATAAAACACTGGCTTGCCAATCATTATGAAATGTGTCCTGTGACAGAAAGGATTAGTTGAGATACTGAGAATTTTAGTGCCTCCTATATGCTAGGCACTTTAGGTATAACAGTTTTTGGTCTGGGAGCCTCTGATGTACAAACAAAATTCGGTCTAATATATTCAGTCCTCTCTGAGGCCTCCTGGAAGAGACAATGCCTCCTGGAGTTGCTGTCAGTTGGCTGGATGGTTAAGTTGTGCTGCCATGAGCACTTCTAGCTAATAAACAAAATGATATCCAATTTATGGAAAACTTCTGTTTCTAGGGAAACTTTTAAAATGGTTAAGAGTGAAGTGGGATCATAAAGTCTAACCCTTAATTGTGAACAGAGTAAAACTTTTTCTCAGAGATAAAAAAGTAAATATAGAAGACGCTCTGGGTATCCCACATAATCAAATAGAAGGATACTATCCAAATGTGTGTCACTTTCCAGAAAGTGGCTATTCAAATAAGGTAATTTTTATTTAATTCTTCATTGGCACTTCATACTGTTCTACAAAATAAGGAATACTTTCGGACTCCTAAAATTCAGTAAGCAAAAATGTGCTTATAATTAAGAATTTATATTCTTTTTCTCATACAGAAAAGAAATATGAAGACAACTTTAATAGAATTATTCTGAGAATTAAAGCTCAAGTAAGAATTCTGTAAGCTTTTAAGTTCAATACAAAGATTACTACCACCAGTAATAATCTATTCACCTCTGGATTTGCTATACGAACCTCAGATCCTGGGTGAATGAAGAAACAAACTTTTTCTCGTCTGAAATGTAGGATAGCTTGAACATTTTAACTATGACCTACAGCTACTCTTCTGCCTTAGTAAAGTGTTCAGGAAGGATGAGTGGCTCACTGTGCTCAGGTGTCTATAAAATTACAAAATGGATTCACGCATCAGGATAAGGAGGGAGATATTGGTAAACTGATAAAAGGATCCACTACTGGCTCTTGAGGAAATGGCTTATTCAAGGGTTGAATTGAGGCCTCCAGTAATGCTGGTTTCTAGCTTGGCTTTAGCATTCTCATCCAGGAATTCTGGAGCTTTAGCTCGCCTCAGTAAGCATTCTTACTGAATATGGTTTCTTTCCTTCAGTGAATTTTGGACATTACATCCCAATGGATGGCATAAATAGACTGAGGTAGCCCTGATGATAAGATTCTTCTAATATGACAATGCCAGAGCCTTCAGAACTACTAGAGAGTAATATCAGCTATACATAGTATCATTTTGATTAAGGCAAATGTCCCAAAAGATTTGCTTTTCAGGAAAAAATATCAACATCTCTACTACCTTGACAAAAAGTCCATTTCCAATTTAACTCCAGTAACAGTATTTGAGGACTTCAAGAAGAAGGTTCAGCTTATCGGGAACAGTTTACAATGCCTAGTGAAAGCCCGTATTGGATAAATCCCTCTGGTTTTTTTTTGCAAAAAGATGCTGTAAGTTTGCTGAGATTCTTATGGTGATGTGCTATTTTATAATACCTAACCAAAACATATTTTTGTTATAGCTACTAAATTTAAAAGGCACAAACCACTTATACTGAGGGAAATAACACTTAAAAAATTAAACATTCATAACTTTCCTTTGAATACTGAATCGTAGAAACGTTTTATTTCTCTAACTGTATATGTTTCCTGGTCCACTGACTTCTTTTTAAGTTATCTTTATCCAAAAATTACAAGTCCAGAGTTCATTATTTATTTTGTTAAATAATTAGATCCATATATAGAGTAACAAGAAATATCTTTAGCTACTAATGAGGGGATTCTGTCTAAAAAGAGAGAAATTTGGGGCCATGTGATTGATATTCATTCTGGACTTAAAAATGATTTTTGTTATGGAAGCAATCAACTGTGGAAACTATCCTTGATCATTTAGGAAAGCTGAGTTCAGGACAGTTTACATTATCATACTGTGCTTTTGATCATTTTCAAGTTTGGTTTTTGCAGTATTTCAAAATCTGTCAACTTAATTTAAAAATAAGAAATTTAAGGTGTGGTCACATATGGTGAACCTATATAATTATCAAATATATTAGTGTACTCAAAATACTACAGAAATAAAGTCATTATTCAGTAAATATTGATCTGCTATGAAATCTATCCCCGATTCATCTTAATGTCTATATACTGAGGCTGATCATATTGTTAACAGAAATTAGATAAAGTCTTAAGAATGCATATTATTCTTAGTGTTTTCTTTATACTCATAATCAAAGTGCTCTAATCAAAAGGAAAGAATAAAATATTTTTGATTGAGGCTCACTGGAAAAAAATGTTTTATGTTCTATCTCTGCATATAAAAATGGTTTCACAACAAACATCCTTTGAATTCGATGAAACTGAAAATTCTGGTGGGTAATAATTAGAATTTTATATCAGAGGATATAGCTATCAGTTTTTTCAATGGCTTCTTTTATATTTCAATTAAGTTTATGAAACTGAAAACCTACAAAAAAGGAAAACATCTACTTAAATTACTGTAGATTAAGTGCTGGCTATTACTGCAAGGGAAATACTATGCCAAGGAAAATGGCTCTTTGCTTTGTTGCAAAAGTGGTAAAAACACAAAAGTCAATAAAACTGTTAAAATAAGTCTCAGTAATTACCAAGATCAAAATCCAGTGGCTTTTTGTTAAACATGAACTTTTGTTCTGCCTTCTGCAATACGTAAATAGTGCTGACAATTGGTTTGTGAGGCACTTGCTACAATAAAATGTAATTGTATCATGAGAGAAAGGTGACAATCAGGAGATCATGAAAAAATTACATATTCTCACTGGTAGTTAATTAGCCATGCAAAACCTCCTCAAACAGATATTCTCTTCTATTAGGAATGATTACTATGCAGGCCTACAGATGTCAATACCACAGTCATTCAAATACTTCTTTCCCTCCTAATTGAAGGTTGTAAAGCTCTGGTGCCAAGGTTTTGCTTCCAAAGAGCTAATTTATGACTAGAAGGATATTTTATGTCTTCAGTTGCAGCAGCTACAAAATTCAGCAAATCAGAACCATCTGTGCACTGATACTTGACTCACCATTCATCTAGCAGCCTATCAGTCACATTAGTTTGCATCCTGCATTCTTGGCTCATGAATACTTGTGATGATCCAAAGTTCACAAGAAATATTAAAAATGAATGACATCCTGACCCTACCTTAATGTACATGCATCAGGAAACAAAGCCCTCCATTTTTTTTTTTTTTTGGCACATGGGCAGTGTCAAGGCAGGATTAGACATTTAGTTGCCTGTCCAGTAATGTTGCTGATAGCAGTCTCAGGCTTCTCCCACCTTCTTAAAAAATGTTTCAAGTTCTAATTCTTTTGTGTTGTTTCCAGTTCTAATTTTTTAAAAAAATGTTGCTGTGAGGGAGTCAGCTGGAAGATAAAGTGGAAGGTGTAACTTTAAAAAATAACTTTTTGCAAAAAAGAGTTGTTTCTATAGATTGAAATATCAGCACATACAAATATTCTGGTAAAATTTAAGAATATTATTACCACCACCAAATTATGGCCAAGAGTAAGCAAAAACAGAGGGATGACTAAAGAGAATCTGAAGAAAAGCAGCAAAAAAAGGTTTCCATGAATAAAGCTGGATTCACCTTTAATATCTTACCCTAGTCCTATCTCTGTGACATCAGTGACTGCTTTATTTCTTTAATAATACACAACAGGCCACAGATCCTACTATTTTTCTCTTGAAGACAACAAGTCAAAGGAACCTTCAATAAAATTTCTCGGAGCTCAGGGGATATAAGAATTAGATATAAGTAAGAAACAGGACTGTCAGACTCATTTTGACACCTAAAACAACTTCATTTGGTACATAAGCTTCACAGAAGGTCATCACTGGATTCCAGGGACTGTTACTTACCTTTTGATTATTTGGAGTACGCACATTTAAGCTCTCTCCTTTAGGGGAAAATTCCAGTGGTCCTAAAGGTATTCCGCTTGGGTTCAGAATTTTCTTGAGCATTTGATAGTTTGGCTTTTCATCATACGCTAAATTATGAGCACATACCAAATACTGGGCTATTTCACCTGTGAAGTATTAAGTTTTTTTAATATGTCATTCATAATGGGAAAAAATTTCAAAACTCCAATATTCTCAAAATCTCTGTTGTTCTTCTCTTACACAAGCAAGTGCCCACACACACACACACCCCCTTCAAAGAAACCAAGAATGAACAGTTCAACAGGAAAGTACTCTTTAAAAGATATCCAAAAATGACTGAAATCTAGTGACCTACAGATTGGACAAGATGGGAGAAACTAGTGGGTTGTTTTTTTTTTTTTAACATATCTTTGTTGATATGTTTACAATTCACTCATCAAAAGAAGGAAATTTTTAAAATTATAGTTAGTGATTTTGATTTATAGGATGCAACTACTAAGAACTACATGAATAATATAACAGAACCAGCCACGCTTCACACTTTTTTTCTGAAATTTTAAAAATTCAGTTAAAAATACATTTTTTGAAGTTTTAAAAATTCAGTTAAAAATATAAACAAACAAAAATACCAAACAAAAGCAAACAAAAAATACTATAAACGTCCTTACTTTAAAGGAAGAAATCATTGCAAATTGTAATTAAGGCTTTGATTTTGAGATTACAACAGTTCATTTAGAAATGACCTTGAATTCTACAGTTTTAGCCGTGACTGACTTTAGAATTTGCCGAACCTCGTTCAAGGCCTGCATACCTAGCTAGCCCAGTGCAATCATGGCATAGCCTTTCTGATTTAGAGCACAAGGATGAGAAGTTGCCACCTTTTAATTTTTCTCTTCCCTAGAATGGTACAGTAACCTCCCCACAAAAAAAGTTTATGAACTACAAACTTTTAAATACAGTAAAATTAGAGTCAGTAACCAAAAATTAGAAATATAGCCACTTTACAACAAATGTAGTTTGCATTTTTGTTTCAGGTGGAGGTTCAATCTGAGATATAAGTGATAATACCATACACTGTTTAAAAACTGGCATATTTTCATTTGTTAACAGAGATGTTTATACTCCATAAACTAGTTTTTCAAGGCTTTCCTCTTCAAAAACTTATTACTGACCCAGACACAAGTACCTCTTACTTTCTCACTAAGTTGTTTATATCCTATGGTGGGGAAATTGGGGAAGCTTCGTGGCTTGGCAGAACTGACTTCCTAAATCTTTGCTCCTTTCCAGGCCTACCTCCTTTCAAGTGGGGAACTGCAGAGACACTGGGTTTCACTCCCTACAGGGAAAAATTCCAAAAGGAACAGTCATTATCTCTCCCCTCCACCCCGCACCAAGGAAAGTCAGAGAGTGACCATTTTACACTGTATTGTCCACAACTATTTTCCAGGAACATAAGGCTACTGCAGCTAAAATGAAAACTCTTGGCTCCAGAGTTTTTTTGTTTTTTTGGATACTGTGGCAATTCTGCAACCTCCTTTTTTCCTCTCTAATGTATAAGATGTCAAATTCTGTTATCTAGCACTCGCTCAACCAGATCTCTGTAACTAGGAAGTGCTGCAGCTTCATCACATTTATAACTCATGTTTCCAGAAGCCCTTTGTGGGGGCGTCCAATTCTTGAAGAGATGATCCAAAAGAAAAAAGATTAAATTACATCCACTACCATTTGAATATGAATATTCTGTTGTTCTTTGTTCCTTTCAAGATTGGTAAGCCCAGTTTGGTATATACTACAATTCTATTAACCAGAATATCCCAAACGAAGAGAGCGGAATATGTTGGGGACACTTTTCACAAATCACTGTTAGAAGACAATGGAAGACTCCTGGCACTCTACCAGCTGATAGTGGCTGTGCTGCAAAGCCTTCATGGGTCTGGGATTTGAAAAAATGAGGTCCCAGTGAGGTAGGAGAGGGAGAAAAAGAAAAGAGCCACCTCTGTTATGAATATATTATGATAAACCTGATGCTTAGATGATTGTGATATAGTACTGGTTTAAATGTTAGCCTTTCAAGATCTGGATTTTATTATATTAAGTAAACCTTTTAATTTACTAGCATATTTCCAAAGTTATAAAACAAATGCTTTGAGTAGTATGAAATTATGATATTCTTGAATCATCTGCTTTTTAAGCTAGTGAAATATTAAGTATCATTACTATCATTTCAAGAGATAGAAACTTTTGAAACTATTATTGATATTATTACACTGAATTGGACATGCATGTTGCAAACTTCTCAGCTGTTTTCATAAAATGTCTTAGTAATAAACCTTTTGTAAATCGGATTAATTCTCATGCTAGCAATACCCACTCTCCTAAGCATAACCAACTAACTTGAGAGACCTTCAGTTAATAATAAAGTTTCAACGTTCTGTGCTTTAGAAATAGAAATTTGCATTTTATAAAAGAATAGTATAGACCCAAACAAATGGTTTGTACTGAAAAAGAGGAGCCTGGCACTCCTCCCACCATTTCTTGTACCACTCAAATATTATATTTAGCAATAGCAGTGTCCCAGAATATACACTGGTCCATAAGCATTTATTGTGTACGATCCAGGGCACATGGGCTTTCTTTCCTAATCCTAAACTGAACAGTTACCTTTTGTGCATGAGAGACAAGAAAAGAGATATACAATTTAAAAAAATTTTTAACATCTCCTCATCTCTCTTTTTGCTGTCCTGTTGAGTAAAATGAAAGCTGTGTGACTTGGTTAAAATGCCAGTAAGAATATTAGCCAAAAAGGAATACTGGCATATTGACTGAGTTACTCAGTGCAGTTACATAAATGAAAAGTTTTCATCTTTCAACCCATCCCCCCAAATGAGAATACTACTCTTCCGTTTGCCTCCCTCCATCAGAAGGAAAGAGACAACAGAGAGTGGGAAGCAGAAGACTCATACTGGGCAGACTTGTGGGATTTGGGAAATGGAGGTGGGAAAACAGAACTGGTCTGTTCATTTCCTACGGAAATGAAAATTTTGGTTTCTGGTCAAAGAAGGGCTGTAAGTATAAGTTTAAGATGATTTAACTCTACTTTTAAACTCTCATGTGGAAAATGATACTATTTGACCTTATCTAGACACTCAGCGTACATATTTACTTTCTTAAGTCAGCTAAAAGCTAACTTCGAAGTTGCCTGGTAGAAACAGAGATCAAGATTCACTCTGCCTATCGTCTCGGAGAGAAAGCAAGCCGGACAGCAGAAGCAGGCTCTGCTCTGTGAGGCAGTCTAACTCGGTGGTTAACTCGGTGCTGAAAAATGTGCCATGCAGCACTTGGGTAATTCTGAATTGCCTTACTATTTTTACTGATAGTACTACCAATTAAAGAATTCCAAAATGGTCTATACTAACATGAAAGAGAAACCTGTTTAATGAAATACACTCCGAATCCCAAGGTCATATGCCTTGCCAATCCAAAAATTTTTTTCTGGCTGTTGAGTCAGACTATAACCCAAGTCTAAACAGCATTCAAGTGTTTAATGGTTTGGTTTGTTAAATTATTAATTGAAAGTAGTCTTTCCTTAGATCAACTTTCTCTTCTTTCAGCAACACACATAGGAACAAAAACAGAAAGTCCACTCTGGAAATACCAGATACAGCTGACCATTAAACCTGTGCCTGATTCCCCAAATATACATCTAAAAAGAAAGCGATGCCACCAGCAGAGCCCAGAACGCTGCCTGCATATGTTCTCGCAGCATTCTTGTGTCCTGATGAAAAGAGGATCTAAACAATCTCTTCTCTGGCAACGTATCTGTAACCCTGGAGAGATTCTTCCCACCACTATGGGAATGGGACTGGGTGCAGCAAAAGCTACAAGAGTGACAAATGTGGTGAGCTGTAAATCATATAGGAGAAGGCAGAAGTTATCACCTGACTTACAGCAACTGCTTCCGGAAGGAGCCCATTTAAGCACTGACTCAGGCAGCTCATCCAACAGACTAAAACAAAACAGAGTAACGCACAGTGAATTTGTTTGCAATCCTGTGATTTACTGTTTTGATTAGAAAACAAAACTCTATGGCTCACCAGTAATGTGACTTTCCATACTTTTTTTTTTTCACCCACCTGTAATGGGTAAGAGGGTAAGTGGATGGGGGAGATCCCTCAGATCTCACTGATCGATTTTATATCAATCACCTAGAAACTAAACGTAGAACTACAGTATAAATGCTTTAATACAAGGTCTGCACGTGTAGAAATGTATAAGTAGGGATACATGATTTTTTAAAAAAAAAACCTTAAGAAAAAAATACATAGAAAAATTTTATCTGGATTTTCAGGATATTTTTCCTCAGGTACTCAGCACTGGGGAGGGGCAAATTATTTAATATTTTATGTATATTGTTCTCAATTGGGCAGTTGCTTTATGCTATGCCATGATTAAACAGGTTAACAAGAAATATCCAAAGAACAAAACAAAAAACCCATTATTCTAACACTTTCCAGTGTTTTAGACTCAACAAGTACAAATCTCTTAAGTTGCTTCAGCCACAAATATATAAACATTCAACTAAAATTACTGATATGAATGTTTGATTCACAAACTCAGGCATAGGCAGAATTGCAACAATAAATGCACTGATCTAATATTACCCTATGTTAGGAAAATAAAGGGCATATGGGATACAGTATTATGGTTAAATATACAGGCCTGCCCATACTTATGGGGAAATTCAGCGTTATGCCTTCTCAGCAAGTTGAAAAAATTATGATTATGTATTATATAAAAAGTTTGAACATGTCTTATATGTATATATATATAAGATACATATATGTACGTATCTTAATTATACATATGTCTTAATTATAAACTTCATAATACAATATTAGCTTTATTGGTCAATAGGTTTATATTAGTAATCAGGTCAAAATGAATATATTAATATATGCAAGGGGCCCCACAATACAAACGGAGATTATGTTTATTAGCATTATATTTTATTATTTATGTAATACCCTATTATATTCAAATATATACATGTAGGTATATTCATTAGAGACATATACAATGAAGGCATCTATATATGCATATAGATAAAAGACTAGAATAATATTAGTAAGTCTTATTAAAAGAAAAACACATATAGGATCATTGGAATTAAAATGTTAGTCTATTAAATAAAGTATTTTACTCAAATTAGGTAAACTGAGGTAGAAAATTGGAAACCAAGCCTTTATATATGCCCATTACTGTCCTTTGACTTGACCCATATATTGAAAAATGTTAGTTACCTGAGGGTTATATGGACACATCAGTCACCACAATAAGTAACTGATTAGACAGTTCTAATACTGACATATAAATGTGTTAGTTTTGGGAAAGGGACTAGGACGTTCAAGATTCCAAGTGGAGAAATATTTCATACAATATATGTCACTATTTACAAATGTAATCTGCATTATTTTGTATCTGCAGGCTAGCTCTCCTCTCTATTAAGAACTGATGCCACACTGAATTAGACAGACAGATTTCTACGGATCAGCTAGCTACCCCTTTTTAAACTTCTGTTGTGACTTGCCCTATTAAAATACAGCTGCTTTTTCCAATTGTGATATTATATCTGTGGATAACTACTGTTGAGAATATCTTGGTGCATAATGAAAAACTGGCTATGCTGTGCTACATGCAATTGACTTTTTGTTAGGCCTGATCAGTGAGAAAAACAGTAAAATAGTAACCCACTCTATTCTCAGTCTAACCTAATTCTCACCCTAATAGAGTTTAGGTGATAAAAATTGAATGTGGAATATTAAAATGTTTATGTGGCTGCAAAATGATCTCTTACATAAACACCTCATATACAAATTCTGTTTGTTTCTTCCTTAAGAAACAAAACATACACTCCCCCAGATAACAGGATTAAAAACAATGTATGTTGCTCTCACTTGAAAAATATGAGCCCTGTTTGTCCCATTTCACTTTGTTGCTGTGCACAGTTAATATCAATCACACCAAGCTCACACTAACTCCATATACTTATACAATGCTACTCTGAAAATACTCTTCCTTGAAAATACCACCACCTAGAATCTAAGTTTTGGAAAACACCATGTGAAGCAACAAATATTTCACTTTTTATTTTGTATTACAACTCTCATACATATGATCTCATAGGTGTTAGCTTAATGGATTTTATGTCTGTAAGCTGTTTGGGTTTTTTAAGATATTTTTCAAATTTAAGAAATTTGCTTTGGCTATCCTATTGAATGAATAGGTTGAATGAATGAATAGGTTGAATGGCAGTCTTCTCTGAGATATTAACTCGTTTTAATGTATCCCTTCAGACCTGGTGCTGTACATAACGGAATACTTGAAAATCTGTACTTAGTTTTAGCTGTCTGGACAGCCACAGGGTCCTCCAGGTTCTGCTCCCAGGGCAGTCTCCCACATAACCACCGCAGCAGGCAGTAGCCGAGGATTTCAAGGTCACTTCGTCTGGACAGGGCTACAGGAATAAGCATTAAGAGAGAAAGATGAGGGATAAGTCATTTTTGAGGAATAGAGAAATCACTGAATGAACTACCACTGATGAAATATGAAAAAGCCAAATGGGCGATGTGTTTTGTTTGTTCAGCTGGAGTAAAGCTTAAACGCCCAGGCGTTTGGCCCCGGTCCACAGAAAGGCAGTGACTTCTTGCTGTTGAAAGTAAGGGTCAGTTTCCTCACCTCCTCCAACTTCATCCTTCCTTAGTCTGGCCTGTCACATGAACTTCATCTCCGTGGCCTCTGACATGATCCAGACAACCCATAACCTGGCACCAACACTTTCTCAAAGAGCCAAGCAGTAAAACAAAGAAATAAATGTCTGCAGCTAAATTGCTAACACATGTTCCAGGAAGTCCATGGGGTCTGCATTGGTCATGCAGAGACCCTTCAAGTGCAGACTAAACACTGATGGCCTTTCCTGTTCCACTCATACTAGCAGCATTGGAAATCGGAAAATATGACAAAACTGCCATCTAGTGTACACTATTAAAAAACGGGTCTTTCTTAAGATTTTTCAATTAAATGAAAAAGTACAGGATAAATACACCTGCTGTTTGGGGTACACGGATCTAAAATTTTACAAATATTATTTTAGATATAAGCAGTGCTAAAGCGAACTTCTGATCAAATCTCCTGAATAAAAAATATAAAGGTAAAGAAATAATGTGCATGAGGGGTGGGGTGCAGGTGGTGGGAAGTAAATTTTAAAGCCAAAGAGAGGTTTCCATAATCTAAGATAAGATGGCTTTTCATAAAAAAATACAGTAAAAGAACATTTTGAGGCCACTGTAAATATCATTTATATAAAACTACAGACTAGTGCCATAGACTAATTTCATGACAATTTTCTGTATTTTTTTAAAGTAACTGATTTCAAAAGAAGGACAAAAAAATCTAAGAAACATGTCAAATATAACAAATATTACTGAAATAATGATTAAAACATTAACAAAATCCCACAAAATAAACTCATTTTTATAACCATTCCAAATTGTTATAAAACAATAGCCTGGCTTACATTTCTACCATTACTTGAATGTTCATCTGTATAGGGATGTAAAATCTCCTAAGTGCAATATATGGCTGTTAAACCTGCTGTAAACAGGTATCCTGGTTTTATTATCTTTCATTACATACATTCTGAAAAGTCACTCAGTAAACTTAGTTTAATTTAAAAAGTCATCTACAAAGAACAATGCTGCTAGCACATCATAACTACTTTTGGTCACCATACATAAGTTACTATAAAAGCAGAAGACAAGATTAGCTCTTACACATACTCTATCTTAACTGCTATTAGAGTACCAGATTTATTAAAGGCCCTTCAATCAAGCAGAATGCGACAGTCCCATGGGTACTGTTTACTTTCTGCACAAGCTTCAGCAATGTCCTAATGCAAGACTTGGCTCCCCTATGAAAATAAAAACACAGTCTCTACCACACTGCTTTGTAGTCATTTCTTCAGTAATAAATCTCCCATTAATAATGGAATGGTTCCATTTGTACAGATGTGTTCACAAATCCCTTTTCCATTATGGCAATTCCCGATTACCACCACTTAAAAAAATTCACATCCTCTAATTTTCGAAAAATTATATTCTGGCACCTGTTTGGACGACATAGGCTACACACAAGAGGCCCTTTGAGGAAAAACAATCAGAATTAAAATGGAATGAACCTTCCCAGCCACTTCCCTCAACCCCCCAACTGGGGGATTAATTGATATGAAGCTGTAAGTAATGACAAGTCATTTAGATTTCTGAAGCCAATCTTTCATAAACTGGTCTTCATTTGAAATAGCCCTTCGAGAGTTAACTTACTTCACTATCATAGTTCAGTTTTACCTAATTAAAATACAGCACCACATTTTTCAAACTTTTATTTTCTTTTACTGCATATATACATTAATAACTATTGTTAGGTAAATGTTTTACCACTCACTGTTTCTAATAAGTTCTGCAGACATACATGTAATGTTAAAAAAAAAAAAAAATTCTATAGTAACTCTTTTCCCACCATTAAACAGAGAGATGAAAGGATTAAAAATGTTTCCAGGTACACACCTTTCCCTGAAACTCCCTCTCAGGGAAACAAACTGCAAAGTGTGATGTGTTTTTGAGAAGTTAAACTCTAAGACTGTACCAGCGATTATGTCTTTTCTCCATCTACTACATACAGAAGAGTAATTTTAACACTGGTTAAATTAATTAAAATATTTTGGATGACAATATTAGCATCTATGAGTGGGTATGTAATTAACACAATGAACTGATCACATATCTTTAAGTTTAAATAAAGTACATCATCAAAATATAGATGATATGATAATGATAACTGTTGAATCTAGGAATTGAATATTTACTATATTATTCTACTATTTCCTGTATATTTGAAAACAATTAAATAAAATGCTGAAAATTAAAAAAAAGAATTGATCATAATTGAGGAAGACTACTAATTAACATCTAACAATGAAAATATTTTTTAATTTGAAAGTTGAAACATATATTATGGATTATTTTGGTTTTGTATAATTCGTATTTCTGTATAATTTATTGTAATACATAAGGTTTTTCAGTTGCATTTGATAATTAATATAATCATTAGCAGCATATTTTCATATAGATTTCCTAAAGTCACACTTTTACTCATGGTACTTCTGCTTAGAAATATAGGAAGATTTAGTTATCAATATTCTCTTGTCACTTTCTAAATATAATTTAGCATCTAATTTTTATTTTGCTTATTAATATGGAACAATGTAAATGAATCTTTTCACTGAAAGCCTGTGGTGTTCTCAGTTGCTCAACATTTCTAAATGATAAAGTATTGCCAAGACTAACCAAAAAAAAAAAAAAAAAAAAAGGCACAGGTGGGGTGGGACTTGAATTTGATTTCACTAGAAAGCAGATTCCAGAAACAGCTGACACTAGAATACATAATTAAAATAAAAACGATCAATGTGATTTATGAAGCTGCTACCGTGCCAGACACTCTACTGCTTTTATATTATCTTATTTAATCATCCTAACAATATGAGGTATCATTAACCCTGATGACAAATAAGAAAATAGAGGCTCAGAGAGGTTAAATAACTTGCTCAGTATCACACAGCAAAAAGTCACAGAGCTCTGTAGTGAAATCCAAATCTTTCAGAATCCAGAGCCAACGCTCCACTCAATCTACCAATTACTTTGCCTCCATTGTTAGTTTTGCACCATTTAGACAACACAACATATACCCTTCTACAGTTAGGGAAGTATTTGAAGCACGCATTTTAACTTAAAACACCAAAGACAGTTGTATTGGCAAGGAAGAAATAAGCAGCAGATCCTGAGGTCTAAGCTGTAACACTAACAAAATTTTTCATGCAACTACCCTTACATGACACTATTTCTGTAAAACGACTTCATTCTGATGAAGAAGAATGTTTAATTACAACATTAATTTATAAAGTGTTAAACAGTCCTTCCAAGCTGAAATGAGAACAACAAAGGAATCACATTGGAGGACTGGTCCTTATTCTAATGACAAACTGGAGTAAAATTATCTGGGTGCAAGTCACCAAATGGAATGAAAGAACTGGGAGAAAAAGAAAAGTATCAGTGTTAATCCCAAAATGGCTCTGATTATCTGCCTAAAGTGTTTCCTTCTGAGTTTTTTTCTTACACAGGGTAACATTATCAAGTAGGAAGAAAAACAAGATTTGCTAGGAAATAATAAAGTGAACGTGAAAACTTTTGCCTTAAGCAGACAGGGTCTAAATGCTCAAAATACCAGTTTATATACTCAGAAATGACAATAAGAAAGCAGAAAACATCTGAGTAAGACGTTCACCTGAGAAGTGAATGGTGACCATCTGCAGAATAAATTTAAAGTTTATTCTTATTTTTCTAACTAGTAACCTATGTTATTCAGTAGTTTGTCAATTCAGATGTATAAAGAGCTAGGAAATTTTATGGTGGCCACAATTTATTGCAATTTCAAAAAGGATATTAGGAAAGTAGAATACAATGTGTCACATTTCAAATAAAATAATAAACCCAGGTCACTTTTATTTCTTCAGTACTTTTTAAATTCTAAGCCTTAGTTTTTTATGAAACACGTGTGAGGCTTAGGAAAAGTTATTCAACAGAGCAAAGGTATCTTACATTTGACCAATGTGTATTCTTAACCAAATAGTTTAAGACCTATGCCAAGACTTTGAAAGTCATGTCTAAATGTCAAAATTGGGTTATGTCATACAGAAAGAATAGTGTCTTCATTAAAATTTATTTATACATCAACCAAAGACTATTTATAGCAGTGAAATTTACTTAAAAATAAAAATCAACATTGTATTTTTCTGACTACTAATAGATTCAATAGAGCATATCAATAACTTGATGGTTTACCTTAATATCTTATAATTGAAAAATGGGTTCCCTTTTTTGAATTATTGTTTAAGAAGATAAATATTGTATAAACCATGTCATTTCCCCAAGTTTGGTAGCATGAAAACACATTCTCAGTTTATTTCACATATATTTTGTAAGCTGGAGTGCTAGATTAGAGTGAAATGAAGCCGTGCAAGAAATAACACAAAACTTGGATTTTATATGCTGTAGCAATTGGCAAAAATTTTAAAAAGTATGTAATATATTTCCTTCCTTGATACTGAACATATTATATAAACAAATGGACATTTAAAATGCAATTTAGATATCATATTTTATGGTCATCAATGATGTCAAATTAAAACAGGTATTATACACTCAGTGCACAAGTCTGAAGTATTTAAAAAAGCTCAGTATGTTAAATGCAGTATATCTCTAGAGAAATTAGGTATTGACTGCATGCCTCAGTGAGCAGAAAAATCTACAAAAATCTATACCACACATTGATCCGAATATTGCTTTTTAACATTACTAAGAATGTAACAAATTTTAAAACAGTATATTTGACACAGATATAATTCTCTGTAATTATCAGGCAACAAGCCCAAAATATGTCAATGTTTATACATGTTGGTTTTTATGAAGAATAAAAAAATAACAGATGAGATAAGCCCAAAATATATTACTCTAATTTTACACTAAATGAAGCACTTCAGCCTCTCAGAAAACACTTTTAGGTCATATATGAGAACTGAGTTTGGAAGAATAACTGCAAGTAAAAAAATACAGATATATAGATGCACAATAGTTCAAGAAGAGTTATCTATCCATTCATCCATCTGTCCATTCACCTCTATATATCTCTATTGATATTTTTTGGCTTATAATAGTACAAGCTACCCTCCTTTTACACAGTTGAACTAGAAAATGCTTAGGTGAAACTGCTGACTGGCACCTTATACAAGCTCCTTCATTACAAAAACCCAACTAATCTACAGACACATGAGAGTTAGCTTCTGTTTCTGAATAACCACTACAAAGGTAGCGGAGACCAGAAAGTTTGATCAGGTTAACAATATATCTATTAAGTTGCTGATCCATAAGTCACTTTTACAATAAAGGCTGAATATTTCCCAGGGCCTGATCAAGCACAGATAAACCTAAAACATAACAAATGCTCTGATAGCTAGAGGTTATATTTCCTAGTGATAACTTGTTTTACTGTTTTCCTTTGCATTATCTTCCTCAGTATTTATTTGATCTCATAGCTGGACTGGTATAGAAAAGGTTTTTCTGAGATTAAACTACATAGTGTGTACTGAAAGTAAACACATGAATATTTATTAATCTGACATTCTGCATTTACCTACAAGGATTTATGGCCTTGTTTAATTCTAGTTTCTAGATGTGACTAAATGATTACTTCATTTCTAATAAAATCCTAAAGTGAAATGTTTTATTTTGGAAAATTAAATGTAAAACATGAGTAATGAATAGTATTCAAATATTTGAGGATACCAAACCTTTCTTTTTTTATGCTAGACTAAAACTGCGTGTTAAAATTTCAGCAAATATATATATATATTTATGTGTGTATGTCTACATCTATGTATCTATGTATATATACATGCATGTGTATATACATGCATATATGTGTATATATATGTATATCTACATGTAAATACAGATATGGTGAAAAGTTTAGTGTACATTCTATATTAAATGCATTAAGGGAATCTAATTTTTATAGAAATCTTGTGAAACCCATGATAAAAATGAATACTCACTCCAGCTCATAAGTTTCAAATACCAAAAATACGTAATGTAGGCTCTCCCCTGAGTAGTCTTCCCAAAGAGATAATATCTTTCTCCCATCATTCTCAGTTCAATCTTCTCTCCAAAGACCTAGCATTGTGAAATCTACCCAATTCATCAACATGTATTATTATTTTGGGAGCAAAAAACTTAAATGCACTATGGAATAAAATTTTGTTCAAATATTTCATGAAGATGGCATAATGAAAATACTGCCCTCAACTATGGAATAACTGAGGAGGACTTCCAGAATTACCACAGTCCAAACACTGACCAGACCAAGATACGACAACTCGACTTTCCCATTCCACAATCACAGTGGCTTCCTAGATGGTTTTTGTTTGTTTTTGTTTGTTTGGGTTTTTTTGTTTGTTTTTTTGCAGTACACGGGCCTCTCACTGTTGTAGCCTCTCCCGTTGCAGAGCACAGGCTCTGGATGCGCAGGCTCAGTGGCCATGGCTCACGGGCCCAGCCGCTCCGTGGCATGTGGGATCTTCCCGGACCGGGGCACAAACCCGCGTCCCCTGCATTGGCAGGCGGACTCTCAACCACTGCGCCACCAGGGAAGCCCCTAGATGTTTTTTTAATAGTCAGAATCTAACAGGATCAGTATTAGAGCTATGGGTTGAACTAAGTGGCCCAACCATAAGTTAATATCATCATTAACATAATTGGATCAAAGCTTAAGAATCTGTATGATGAATTTCCAGTTATACCACTATCAAAAAGTACTCTCAGGTTTCTAAATATTCTTTCATATTAATATATCTGGCAAACCACTACTTTTCTAAACAAACTATCCTTGAAAAAAAAAATGTAGTGACTTCTTTTATTTTGATCAGGAGTATAAAAGGTAATTTCTATTCCAGAAAATTTAACCTATGATTCTTCTTGAAAGGAAGAAGGTATACAACCGACACAGTTGTTTTCCTTTTTTTTTTTTTTTTTTTTTTTTTTTTTGCAGTACGCGGGCCTCTCACTGTTGTGGCCTCTCCCGTTGCGGAGCACAGGCTCTGGACGCGCAGGCTCAGCGGCCATGGCTCACGGGCCCAGCCGCTCCGCGACATGTGGGATCTTCCCGGACCGGGGCACGAACCCGTGTCCCCTGCATCGGCAGGCGGACTCTCAACCACCGCGCCACCAGGGAAGCCCAGTTGTTTTCCTTTTACATTGGCCTACGTTAAACTACTGTGGGTTTTAATTGCTCTGGAAAATGATCAAGACCCTCTACATTACATGGTCAATGGTCCTTTTAATAGAAAAGGCAATAATATACAGTTGTTTGCACCAACTAAAACTCGTTAGAAAGTATCAGTTTAGGGTAACAGTTCAACAGCCATTAACAAGTGCAAATGTCTAACTGCCTTTTAGTGAAAATGTGATCCTTTCAAAGCAGTTTAAAATTTGTATGGTTTAGCATATTTGAAAATACTTTTATAAACAAAGTTTATGAAGAATATAATTTTGAAAGACAAAGTTTTTCAATAATCACCATTTTTTTTTTACTAGCATAACATTAGAATTGACTTTTTGTCTTGCTGACAGAGCAACTAAGAAAGTACAGTTGCATTGACCATATTGATTGTGAACAAAGCAACCATCAGTGGGACTCCGCACCATATATTTTCAATATTGACCTCCTACTTCCTTCGCCATGGCTTTCTGGGTCGGCTATTGGATTTAGACTGCAGTGTAATAAACAGCTAAGGTTTAATTAATGGTAAACGAATACAAGACATAGGTTATGACTTTAACTAATTAGGGAATTGTTGAATTAAGTCTCCCTTGGAATGCAAGGCAGTACAATCAATGTCCAATAAAAGGACTATGTATGTAATTTACCTGCAAATGTGTTTCCAATACCATCAAAGTGAGTTTAAATAAGTAAGATATATGAAAGGCCACTAGGAGAGATTTCCACAAGTTAACACTTCCTAGATTCAGAAAAGATTTCCTTATTGTTGAGATGGTATCTTCTAAAGCTCTGATAAGGGCACAAGGAAAAACAGGAATAATTCTTCACATGTGTACCTGTACCAAATCTGTAATTGCCACTACAGCATAAATATTCAGTTGCTGACCTCCAAGTTTAACCTAAACAAACTAGTACTTTCCTGTCCCAAATGAGCATCAAGTTTTGCTTACTTGACACCTTTTATTCCTTTTTCACTTGTCCAAGTCTGTATCTCCTCCCTCTGTTAGAATATTCATTGGCATACAGGAACTCACTACTTTTGATAAACATCTCACCAATGTTCTCATTCTTCAAACTGACTATGCAAAGGTCATTTCATGGAGCCTTAAGGCTCTTTCTTCTAATTATTCTTCTGAAATAAAAATAAGAAAAAAAGAAACCTACCTACTCCCTTGTGGGCATCCAAGCTGGTAAACTCTATTGTCCCATTATGGCTTTTTCTAGGATTTTCCTGATACTGTTTGTGGTTCCCATTGGGACAATATCTGTAGGAAAGTCCATAATCTGCAAGATAAACCTGGAAGACATGAACAGACAAATGAATAATGTTTTTGTCCTCTGAAAATATAACCTTTATAATTAAGTCTTAAGAAACTGATAGGTTAAGAGAGCCTCAGATCTACATTTGATTAAACCAAATGGTGCCTTAGGATAAAATATATGCAACTGGGGGCCATAACAATGAACTTTCTAACTTAAATCCTGTCTTCATCATAGGCAAGTCTTGTTTCTGAGTTGACTTAGATTTTCAGCCTCTTTATTTTGCTCTTAAATTCCCTTCCCTCCAGGTGGGCATGCAGACGTCATAAACCACAGTATGTCTTTTTATCTGTATTCATACAGCGTATGAGGCTCTGCCTTTTTTGTAACCCCTTCCTGTAAACAAAACTGTTTCAAGCAGGGAGGGGAGATGAGAGCAAACAATCTAAAAATCTTAACCTCATGTTACAGGAGTCTCCATTAACAAGAAGTATAAAAATAATGAACAGACTGTAAGAGGTAATGACTCTTAAAAAAAAAAACACCATCATGTTGTCTGTATTTAAGAATGGAACATCAGTGCAGTACTTTTGGCCTTTCAGCCGGATCCATATCATCACTGTTATCTTTTAAGTCAGTCAGAATTGCAAGCTGGGTTTCCAAACAGAATATAGATTGTTAAAAGTCAGATAGCAATTCAAGTGAATTTTTCTCAGATTACTTTTGGAGAGAGAAGGGAGGGGAGAAGTAATTTTACAGATAGAGCATACACCGAATCGGGAACAGTTACGAATAGACATTTATTCTGACGTGTAGTCAGAATAGCGTACTTCCCTGTTATAGGTTACCATGCTCCTCCCCCCACCCCCTGGAAAAGAAAGCAGTTTCAGCTTTTAAAATGTGTTGTTTCACGTGTGTTTCTTTAAAATTTAGAGAATAAGGCAACATTTCATGATGCAGCTTTAAGACAACAGAGTATTACAACTGGTATTTTAAAAGATAATTATTAAAAGAAAATTAAATTTTAGTTTAAGTTTTTGGTTTCAGGATAGCCTAAGTAGGAGATATTTTGAATTTCAAAATATAAACAGCACAGCTTCCTTCACTTGTTGGAGAACATAGCTTGCTGGAATGTCTGAAAACATGATATTTCAGTTTTGTCTCTCACTCACAGATGCTATTTCTCAAGATGGCCTCAGGAGTAACTGCCCAAAGTAATTACACTTCAGGATCAGATGTATAACTGGTTGCTTGCTTTCACTATTTATGATGCATTTTTATCTTTATTTATTTTGAAAACTAAATAGACTTCACTTTGCAAAGTAGATATCCTGAGAATGTACATATTGATAGCAAACGGAAACATATTTTAAATACACTACAACAGTTTACTATTAAAAAAAACTATCAAGATGTTTTTCATGTAGATTCACCAAAAAAAAAAAGACCTAAAATTTATGGATGTTTTACGGCTAAAATATGGATTATGCCTCATATGTATCGATAGCAGAGAGCATGATAAGAGCTTAATGTTCATCGACCGATGAACAGATATCCTGTAGGAAGGTACCATTATCTCCATTTTACTTGTAAGCAAACTGAAGCTCAGTCAGTGACCTTGTGACCTGTGCAGTAAAATGGAGCCAGAGTCTGACTCCAGAATCCTCATCTCAGTCACAACCAAACTCAAAGGCACTAGACAAGTTAAACAGATAAGAAAGTACTCAAGACTACTGTAATAGGGAAGAGTGACTGAGCTCAACTCCACTGAAACAAAAGTTGGGAAAGTTTTTAAGAGCTGAGGCTGAGCTAGTGAAGAGTACTGGAGAACACTAAGGGGATACAGGTCAACGTGACTGGGTTATCTACGTTTGCTAATTGGTGCTTAGGCTCCTATCCCCAACCTCAAAGACTGTAGAGATGGGAGAACACTTTTTAATAAAGATTACATTTTAAAGGGATGACTCCCAGGTCCTGGAGGTCCTTGAGAAAGACATTCCTGGGTTGTAAAACTGGCAAGAGGCTGGGAGAAGATCCACATCTCAAAGGAGCAGAGAAAGAATTTATAATTTCAAAGTTTCTTAAGTAAATGCTGTAAGAAAAGGGAGGACAGGAGCTTACGGTCAGGAGGAAACCTGTCTAAAGTTTAGTCAAGCTGAGGAGAACTTTAAGGCCCTCTTGGTCATCAGTGAGCTATGGGCCTCAAGGTAGTGCTGAGTTACTCAAACTTTGAAGGGCAATGCAGGATCTACATTTAATATAAAGACAAGAAGCTAACAATATAGTAAAGGAAACATGCACTAACCATTTGACTCAGAATACACTAACTCATTTGAATAATGCTGCAGTGAACATGGGAGTACAGATCTCTTTGAGATAATGATTTTGTTCCCCGTGGAAATATACCAAGAAGTTAGACTGATGGATCGATCATATGGTAGTTCTATTTTTAATTTTTTGAGCAACCTCCATATTGTTTTCCATAGTAGCTGTACAAGTTTACATTTCCACCAACAGTAAACAAGGGTTCCCTTTTCTCCACAACCTCACAGCAATTATTATTTTTTGTCTTTTTGATAAAAGCCTTGTTCACAGGTGTGAGTTGATATCTCATTATGGTTTTGATTTGCATTTCCTTTATAATTAGTGATGCTGAACACCTTTTAATGTACCTGTCAGCCATTTGGATCTCTTCTTTGGAAAAATGTTCAGGTCCTCTGCTCAATTTTTAAATTGTCTTATTTTGTTTTGCTAATTGGGTAGTATTACTTTATATATTTTGGATATTAATCCTTTATCGAATATATAATTTGCAAATATCTTATCCCATTCAGTAGGTTGTCTTTTCATTTTGTTGATGGTTTCCTCGCTGTGCAGAAGCTTTTAAGTTTGATGTCATCCCACTTGTTTATTTTTGCTTTGTTCCCCTTGCCTGAGGAGACATATGTAGAAAGACACTGTTAAGACCAATGGCAAAGAGCCTATGTTTTCTTCTAGGAGCTTTATGGTTTCAAGCTTTATGTTCAAGGCTTTAATCCATTTTTAGTTAATTTTTGTGTAAGGTGTAAGACAAAGGGGTGTCCAATTTTATTCTTTGCCATGTGGATGTCCAGTTTTCCCAACACCATTTATTTAAGAGACTAACCTTGCCCCATGTATATTCTTGGCTCCTTTGTCAAAAATTGACCATATATGCGTGAGTTTATTTCCAGGGTCTCTAATCTGCTCAATTGGTCTGTGTCTTTTTTATGTCAGTAACATACTGTTTTGATTACTATAGCTTTGTAATATAGTTTGAAATCAGAAAGTGTGATGCCTCTGGTGGTTCTGTTCTTTGCAGGATTGCTTTGGCTACTTGGGGCCCTTTATGGTTCACAGAAATTTCTGGATTGTTTTTCTACTTCTGTGAAAAACACCACTGGAATTTTGAAAGGGACTGAACTGAATCTTTAGATTGTTTTGGGTAGTATGGACAGTTTAACAATATTCTTCTAATCCATGAGCATGGAGTATCTTGCCATTTATTTGTGTCTTCTTGAATTTCTTTCATCAATGTTTTGTGGAGTTTAGTGTACAGATCTTTCATGTTCTTGGCTAAATTTATTGCTAAATATTTTATTCTTTTTGATGCTATTGTAAATGGAATTGTTTTAATTTCTCTTTCCAACAGCTCATTGTTAGGGTATAGAAATGCAACTGATTTTTGTCAATTGATCTTGTATCCTGCACCTTTACTGAATTCATTTATTCGAACAATTTTTTTGTGGAGTCTTCAGGGTTTTCTCTATATAATATAATGTCATTGACAGAGACCATTTTACTTCTTCCTTTCCAATTTAGATGTCTTTTATCTCTTTTTCTTGCCTAATTACTCTGGCTAGGACTTCCAGTACTATATTGAATAAAAATGGTGAGAGTGGGCATATTTGTCTTGTTCTTGATATTAGACTTTCCACTGTTGGTGTTGTCTATTTTTTTTTTAATACAGTATAGAATTTGTGGTTCTGTCCATTTCTGAAATTTTGTTGAAGTCAAAAATAAGTTTAAGCAGAAAACCCAGTCTACAGTAGGGTTTGCAGTCTAGGTCCTGTTTTTTGTATGTCCTTGAGCTAAGACTTAGTCTCAGTTAACTTTTTTTATATTATCACCTTTTTTTCTGTGAAATAAAAAATAACAACTCATTAATATTTTTCACTTTAAGGATAAATACATATAATAACCCTAGTTTTAGACAAGCCTACAGTAGGAATCTCAAGATCATCAAGATCAGGTAGGGGGTTATTATTTGTATTACAATAAGACTAGACCTAGGAAAATTTAAATATCTAGATCCCTAATGCATTTTAAATGATTTTCTTCTTATGCAACTTTTCTGAATTTAGTAACCATTTCCTTTCTCCATGAATAGAAGAACAGCCTTGACCACTTCTCTTTACTTTAATCATAGATCTTTCGATCATACTGTGCTGCCTCTCACATTTCCACATGCTACTCTCATTTTTCTCTCATCCCTCTTAGATATGTACTATGGTTTAGTTTTGTTTGGTTTTTTACAACTTTGTGAGGTAGGTAGGGGAGATGTGTCATTATACACATTTAACAGATGAAAAATAATGTGATACCCCCAAATAATGCAAGTCAGCCAACAGTCAGTCACTAAGTTCAGCTTCTACAAAAGATTTTATTGTTTTAGTGAATTTCTCAGCTGTCCCCTCCCCCTCAAAGAACACCTAATCTTCACTAATGCTTTCAAGGACTTTCAATTTTAATACTTTATTATTGAAAAGGTAGCTAGTGAGGTACAATCCCATCAAGAAAGAAATGGCCTAAACAAATGGGACCTAATGAAACTTCAAAGCTTTTGCACAGCAAAGGAAACCATAAACAAGACCAAAAGACAACCCTCAGAATGGGAGAAAATATTTGCAAATGAAGCAACTGACAAAGGATTAATTTCCAAAATTTACAAGCAGCTCATGCAGCTCCATAAGAAGAAAACAAACAACCCAATCCAAAAATGGGCAGAAGACCTAAATA